TTTTTGACAATTAAGTTTAAAATGAGAAAATCTTTGTGACTGGCCAGCAATTTAAAGCATAAAACAAAACTGAAACAAATCAATTATATTCCCTCTCACTTATTCATTTGATAAGGATCTAAGAGGAAAATATTACCTGCGGTAATATAATAGAGTTGACATCATCTGGGCTGATATTTTTACAGCCACAAATATTAAGGGACAACAATAAAGATTTGTTTGTAACTGCACCAAGTAAGTTGTTGGCTGAAAGTCTGAAATTTGAAATAAACAAATTACCAATTAAAACATTATACAATGTATATTGTTAAACTCTTTGTGTTGCAATCAATTTTTTATCCAATTAACAATAACTTTCATTTAATTCAGTATACAAACAAGCATATTCCTTGTATCAACTTGCACATTAAAAGCAACATACACATAATGTGACACAGTGTGAATATATATAATAATATGTGCCACGCCATGACTAAATCAACAAAGTTTGTTTGCGACCAGCATGGATCCAGACCAGCCTGCGCATCCGCACAGTCTGATCAGGATCCATGCTGCTCGCTTACAAACCCTATTACAAGTAAAGAAAATGATAGACCAAATAGACAAATCTGACAAACTCACTATGTTGGTTTTGTCATGGCGCGGCTCATATAACTGTCATGCTAAATGTGGTATAACTTCCTTTATAATGCCAAAACAACTTCATTTTTATTAATTTAACTGCATGTATGCATATGATAAAAAGAATCTCACAATCATTGTCGTATTATATAAAATATTACTAAACTTGACAAGAAAATATTATAAAGCTTGCCAGAGGTTCACATAATCATAATTTCTTGAGATCATTTAAAATTATATATTATATGGCAACTCATGTGAGAACCTATGTATTTACAACAGAAGTTCAAATATAATCATTCTACATGTACATACCTTGAGCAACATGAGAGATTCAGTGAGGTGAGCTGGTCTGATCCAATATGTAAAATATCTAGCTGTTTCATTCCTTCACAACATAACTCACACAGATCAGAGCTTGTAAGATCTATCTTAGTTATTTCTTCACAGCCTACAGTATCTAACTTACACACTGTAATAAATTAATTTTACAATCTGTATATATAATAATAAACCGATATGTTGATGCTCTTCAAAAGTTTATATACAGGTTTTATACAAGAACTTGATCAATGTATTACATTAACATTAACTTCAATATACTAGTAAGTTAAACCATAATTTTAAATGCATAATAATAATAAACATAAACTTTTTTATCTTGTAAGTGCTACATATAACTATTTATTACCCTTCCAGATTTTTTTCCGCCTTTTTGATTGGATATTGATCACCCGAAAGAAATTGATATAACCGAGCCAGACGGGTAATATACACACTAAATTTCCCCATTTGGTACCCAACGTTGTAAACAATATGCGCTGAGGTGATGCGCGTACGGTTCGATTTTACGCGGTGTAAATTCCGATTTAAAAGCACTTTTTAACTGTCAAATGATAAATATTTACCAAAGTTGAGTAATGATACATATAACCATCAGTATCGAAAACAAATATGACCTTGTGAAAGCTTGATATTAATTACAAAAAAGTGCGTTCAACAGACTACTCCTTTTCTATTGTTTACTTTCGTAAGGTACGGGAAAAACACGTCATGTATTTATGTGACGTCATGTTGTGACGAAGAGGTATCCTAAAGGGAATCTTATTTCGACGTTTCATTTGAAACAGCAATGATTTTTTAAAAAATCGTCTAAACTCGGCAGGGGAAGGGTAATAAAATTATTATTTTGGTTTTGGAGTGATATATGTGGATATATTACCTGTCAAGATAAAATATCACCCTCGCCTAACGGCTCGGGTGATATAAAATCTTAACAGGTAATATATCCACATATATCACTCCAAAACCAAAATAACATATACTATATATATAGAACAAAATGTATGTGCTGACTCAGCAAAAATATCAACAAACAAGGGCAACATTGTCACAAAATACGCCCATCACAAAAGCTTTTGACAGAGATGTTGGCATTTTACATGTAGATATGCATAAAGGAGATATGCAGTTGGCAATATCCAGGAAATATAATGACTAAATGGTCCCTGTACATAAACTTTGACCTCTCTATGTGACCTTAACTTTGGTAGCAGGGACCTGAATTATGTTTGCAATAAGCCTCACAATGGTGAACATTTGTGCCAAGTTACATTAAAATCCCCTGATGAATGTAGAAGTTTGGCTCTGAACAAGCATTTTTCAATGACCTCTAAGTGTGACCTTAACCTTTAACCTAGAGACCTGGTTCATGCATGTGACACTGCTTCTCATAGTGGTGAACATTTCTATGAAGTTTCATAAGAATCCCACCATGCCTGGAGGAGATATGATCTCGATAAAAATTTGTATATTTTAGCATCTTTAGTGACCTTGACCTTGCAAATATATACCTAAATTACATGTTTCACGCCATTTATTATGATAAGGACCATTTGGGTTTCAATCCTTCAATAAATGATTACTAAATGGTCTGAATACACATTTTCATATTTTTATCTGAACTTTGACCCCTATGTGTGACCTTTACCTTGGCTGCAGGGACCTAAATTTTGCATCCGACATTCTGCCTCACAATGGTAAACAGTTGGGCCAAGTTATATTTAAAATCCTCTATGCATGTAGAAGTTTGCTCCGGACAAGCATTTTTCAATAACCTTTAAGTGTGGCCTTGACCTCTGACCGAGAGACTAGTTTATGCACATGACACTGTTTCTCATAGTGGTGAACATTTGTATGAAGTTTCAAAATTTGGACGCTGCCTGCAAAGGAGGAAACTATAATACGACCTGTTTTCCAAACGGGTGTATAAAAAGTGTAATAAAATACTGTTACTTACATTTAGGAGTTGTTGCTGTAATTTCATTCAAGCTAACACAATGAGAGGTGTCAAGTTGTTGAAGATTTGGACAATATGGAAGACTGACCAACTGCAAGTCTACAAACAGGGCAATGATTGTAATAATTGTTTAGTACCACTTATATTAGAACAGTCAATTTTTACTTAATATGGAAACAATTTTGTATAACAATCAACAATAAACTTTAGTGTTAATGAAATATTATTTAGCTAAAGAGAAGCACAACAATTTACCTTTCATTCAGTTAAATTAAAGCTAAACATAATAAAATATTAAATTTCTATATTAAATACCTTTGCAGAATTTGAGTATTACAACCTGTAGACTATCTAACGCACTTCTTTGCCCCTGTATAAGAAAATGGAAACATCAAAATAGGTAACTTACTAAACTAACAAAAAGTAGATCCCTTAGGCTCTTCTTGACCTTTAATTTTTATTATTACCCCTCACTTTTTTCGTAATGTTAATTTCCCATAGGCCTCTGGGAGTTATTCTTACTGTTAATGCAAGTGTACCACGTGACTACGAATTTTGTACTGTTACATAGGTAACAGTATTTTTTAACAGTATAAAATCTGGTCACGTGGTTTATTTTCTAAATAAAATGAAATAAAATAGCCGCCATTTTTTTCTCGATTCATTCTTATTTTCGACGATAGGGCATCGCCGAAGTAACTATTACACAGATAAAATTTAGTTCTTTGCACCCTAGAGTCCCTTTCGCGTATTAAATATCTTTTTGTTGAATAGTCAACAGGAAACATCCGTTTTCAACGGAAGTAATTGTAATGTAAATAATTTTGTGTCAAACTGGAACATGCAGACAATTAAAGCATGCAACAAAGGATAATTTAACAATTTTAACCAGTGAAACGTTACAGATAGAGTTGGTGGACAGACATCTGTAGGATATCATCGTTATTTTCTAAATGCACTTTGTCAAAAACCATGCGAAGAATATTCTGGATGCAGAAGGATCAGATTTCACAGATCAAAACCTTATAAATGGGTTGTTTTGTTTTCTGAATGAAACACAGCTTATTTTATGTTTATGACTGGTAGATATCATCACTTGCCTAAAGAATAAAAGAAAAACAGCTTCTCAAGTAGGCCTACAGTGCACTTAAAACTTGCAAGGTAAGGACAGTTTAGTTACTGCTTCTCTTGGCTTATTTTTGTTACAGTTAGATTTAGTTGACAAATTTAGATCATCACAGTTTTTGTTCGGGGTAATAAAATAAATAACACATGGGTTTTTTGGGTAACAGTAAAAATATCATCCCTCGTATAAATACTGTTACCCTCGGCTACGCCTCGGGTAACAGTATTTTCCTCGGGATGATATTTTTACTGTTACCCACAAACCCATGTGTTATTTATATACTATTAACATAACAAACAAGGCAAAAACATTTGACTTTTCAGCTTTGACCACCTGTGCTACAAGCGTATGGTCTCTGAACATTTAAACTATGATAACATGAGCTTCATCATATGAAGCATTTGTGCTAAGAACATTAAGACAGGGACATATGAGATGAGATAATTTTCATATCCCTCATTGGGCTACATTTAAGCTATGACCATTTGAAACATGAACATTTGAACTATTTATCTATGAAGCAATGGAAATTGAGCCATGAATACTTGTAGGTATGGATATATGAGGAATAAGTATTTCAGCAATAAACAGTAAGCAGCAATTGAGATTTGAGTATTTGTGCTATAAACATTTCAGCTATAAATGCTAAAGCTGTGAACAGTTGAGCTATGGTTATCTGAGGAATGAAGCATTGAGTTATGGACATTTGAACTGAGGCACATTTGAGGAATTCTGTCTGAAAAAAAAAGGAAATTTGCTGTATTATAAATTTGTTGAAAAATATTCCTGACAGGAATATGACCATATATAAATGATTGTTTGCAATATAACCTGAACAATTTTATAACTAATGATATAAAATTGAAATTCAAAGTAAGTAATAATTTTTGTTGTAATATGCTATAATAGATACCTGATTAACATCAAAGGAGAAACTGTTGAGATATTGACTGGCAGTGAGATCTAGATGGGTAAGGTAAGGACAAGATTGAACCAAGATCTGTATGTTGCTAATAACAACCTTTTGCCCTAACAAACTGAAAGACGATATACAACAAATGATGAAACTATAACAAACTTAGTTTAATGCAAAGCATCAAATATGCTGTACATTTTTTTTTGTAATAAGACTTTACGGAAGTAAAGTCAATAAAACATACAATGTAACTTCAGTTATATATACAATAACAAACATATACAAAGAATAAAAACTTTATATATTTATCAATTTTCAAACAAATATATGAAACTGCTATCTTTTTAAAGCATCCTATGGTCTTCTTCGAAGAACAAAGACAAAAAAAAAACACACACACAAAAAAACAAGGCCTGTCCTTTGAAATGGTGTCCTTTTATGACAATAAATATGTTTACCAAGTATAAAGTGAAAAGCTTTTATAGTTTCTGAAAAAATGAATTTTAACGAAAAGGTTAACCAACGGGGACGAGAGGATCATGACAAAAGCTCCACTTTCTTCTTCAAAAAATGGAGCTAACAATATGCTAGCATAGAGATTCCAGGAACAAAAAGTTTCTATGAAATAAATACATATGAGCCGTGTCATGACAAAACCAACATAGTGCGTTTGCAACCAGCATGGATCCAGACCAGCCTGCGCATCTGCGCAGTCTGATCAGGATCCATGGTGTTCGCTATCAGTTTCTCTACTTGTAATAGGGTTGGTAAGCGAACAGCATGGATCCTGATAAGACTGCGCGAATGTGCAGACTGGTCTGGATCCATGCTGGTCGCAAATGCACTATGTTGGTTTTGTCATGATGTGGCTCATATTAGGAATATAAAACAACCATACCTCACATTTGTAAGACTGAGAAGTTGGCTGGGATCTGAATGCTGTAATTCCAGAAACTCTAACTCTTCACAACTAAATAAAATATACACACTACATTACAAGCAAATTTGTTCAACTGATATCCCTAGTTGAATGAACAAGAGGGCCATGATGGCCCTGAAGTCGCTCACCTGTATTATGCCCCCCGAAGCGGGACCAGTTTAAACCCCAGGGCTTTTATTTGAACAAACTTGGTAGACACCTATTACAAGATGTTTCATGCTAAACATCTAAGGTCTAGCTGGTCAAGTTTTTTCTTTACACATATAGTTAAAAACAATGACACACCTGGGGCAGGGCCAGTTTTCACCCCAGGGCTTTTATTTAAACATTCTTTGTAGACACTTACTAGAAAATGTTTCATGCTTAATATCTAAACTCTAGCTATTCAGCTTTTTTCAAAGAAGATTTTTTTAAGTTTTTGCTATACACATATAAGGAAAATCAATGTCCCCCGGGGCGGGGCCAATTTTGACCCCAGGGCTTTTATTTGAACAAACTTTGTAGACACTCACTAGAAGATGCTTCGTGCTTAATATCTAAACTCTAGCTATTTGAGATTTTTCAAAGAAGATTTTTTTTAAGTTTTTGTTATACACATATAAGGAAAATGAATGACCCCCGGGCGGGCCAATTTTGACCCCGGGGCTTTTATTTGTACAAACTTGGTAGACACTCACTAGAAGATGTTTCATGTTTAGTATCTAAACTCTAGCTATTTGGTTTTTTTCAAAGAAGATTTTTTAAGTGTTTGCTATACACATATAAGGAAAATCAATGACCCCTGGGGCGGGGCCAATTTTGACCCCAGGGCTCTTATTTGAACAAACTTGGTAGACATCCATTAGAACATGTTTAATGCTAAATACCTTAGCTCTAGCTCTTTGGGTTCTTTAAAAGAAGATTTTTTAAGTTTTTACTATATGCATATAGGGAAATCAATGACCCCCTGGGCCGGGGCCAATTTTGATCCCAGGGCTATTATTTGAACAAACTTGGTAAACACCCATTAAAAGATGTTTCATGCTAAATATCTTAGCTCTAGCTCTTTGGATTCTTTAAAAGAAGATTTTTTAAGTTTTTACTATATGCATATAGGGAAAATCAATGACCCCCCTGGGGCTGGGCCAATTTTGACCCCAGGGCTTTTATTTGAACAAACTTGGTAGACACTCACTAGAAGATGTTTCATACCAAATATCTAAGCTCTTGCTCTTTGGGTTTTTTAGAAGAAGATATTTTGGGTTTTTTAGAAGAAGATATTTAAAGTTTTTTCTTTTGGTTGCCATGGCAACCAGTTCTGCATGGAATTAAATTCTTTGAACAATTTTCAAAGGTGACCACCAAAGGAACATTCCTTGTTGAAGTTTGGATGAAATTGGCTTAGTGGTTTATGAGGAGATGTCATTTAAAGTAAAAGTTAACGGACGCCGGACGGACGCCGGACGAAAAGCGATCACAAAAGCTCATCCTGTAACTTTGTAACAGGGGAGCTAAAAATTAGTTGCTTCTTGGTACATTTGTATTATGTACATGAGAGAATATTATGATACAAAGCACACATAAAAGAACATTGTCAAGCTAAAAGACAGCCTTTTGAGATATAATGACACAAGATACCGGTATTAGTAATTCACAAATGTCATTTGGTCATTCATTTGAAGCATGTTAATATAAGAATTACGATGTCTGGATACAAGTAAAATGAAAGAATGTTTATGCTCAATTAATCAAACTTAGGCTAGGAATAAACATAATTTAAACATCAGCTCTGATTTACTTGGTCATGCTGATTGAGAGAAATACATCATCATGTATCAACTAATTAAAGTTTTCATGGAATCACAATTAAGATCATAAAATAAAAACTTCAATGTACAGTTACACAAAGTTCTTGACTCATGATACTAACTTTAAATAATTTCTAGAGAAAAGTTAGAATTGCATGCATATAAAAATTACAAAAAGCAATAACTACATGAAAAATACGAGGAGCAATAACTCCAAATTATGCACACACAAAAAAGAAACGAATTACAGTTATATTTCAAGTGTGTACAATTTTGATTTTTTTTATATTGTTTTTTCTTTTCTTTTACAATAAATTGGTTACAGAATATAACTGCTCCTTGAGAGAATTGCAATATTATAGTACTGTATCTAATTGAAATGCTCTTATATATACAATACAAGTGATATCAGTAACATAGAATTACCTGTCTATAACAAGTTGTGTGAGACGTGACTGCAAAGAGACCAGTTCATTGATAGAACCAGGCTGTATGTAATTATTGTCATGTATCTCCAGTGTTTGTAGACATGTACATTTGGCACATATTGCATTCACTGAAATAATAGATAACAGTGTATACTAGGTAATATATTCCTTTACTTATATAAGGAAAAATTCAAACACTCAAATATTGTACATAAAATCTTACAATGTAAGTTCCAGATTTATAAGCCTGATCATAGGTAGATGATAAGAAATTGAAGTAAATTCATTCAAATTTGGGTAACAAAAGAATATAAGGTCAACATTATGTTACTGCATAAAAACCTTATGTAGGAAAACTTTTCATATCTTTAAAGGAGTGATCTTATTCATAAATATAGTCATTGTACCTTATATCAGGAATTAAAGATAAAAATATTCAATGTAACAAGGAATTGAACTAAAATATCACAGTACCAGACATGTCAGTTATTTTGTGCATATGTAACTCTAGATGTGATATTCTTGTACAACATTTTAACACATCCAGCATGAATCTGTCGGACACTGTGAGGTTGTCTCGTGTTGATTCATCAGCTTCTTCTTCCTCATCTATCATCTCTTCCTCTATAGCCATGTCCCCATCACTAATATATATATACATTACACAAATATGTCATAATATGCTTCATTTCTTCGGAACATAAATATATTCTACTAATTTTCATCCTTGGTAACCCAGGCTATTTACCGTATACATGTATTAAATGTAGTATGTAAAATGGGTTCAGACGACTTCTCACATCCCCTCGGAGCGTGCACGTCGCTGAGAAGGCACAGGGCATCGGCAGATGATGGAAGTTCGAGTTATAATCATTTAAGGCGGCTGCTTCGTTAAGTTAGCTGCCGGTGTCCTGACTAAGGCCGAGGGGAGTGGCCCTACAAAGTAGGCTGAGACGACGAGGATGGTGTACTAGGGTGCGTGAGCCCCTAGTACAGATAGACGGCTTGTAAGGCAGGCCTATAGCTGGCACCAACAGCCCTTCTCAGGGCTAAACACCTTTCCTATTGTCACAGGTTACTGTACATTTAGGTTCTCATTGACCGCCGTACAGTGACCTACTTTTGGCTCAAAATTCATATCTTTGGCTAATACTCCGTGGAAATTGCATGGAGGTAAATTATCACCATTTTGTGCTTCAAAATTAACTCTTTAAGGACATGACTGGTGACATGTCCGGGGTCCGTACTCGACAGCGCAAGCTGCATTTTGTGCCCGAAAGGCGGATGGACCCTCATTAAGCATAAACTAGAAGAAGAAGGGTTCAGACGATGACTAATTTTATGAACACTGTATTTTATTTGTATGAAATTATCCGTATCACCTGTTATGTATTGCTCACAGTATATCATTCACTGAATGGTGTATATCACATTTTGTATATCAATCATGCTATATCACTCTCTGTTAATCACTGATTAATATCCCTCACAATATATCACACACAGCAAATTACTCAATGTACATATATATTATTTGGTTTATACAGAATTTATTTTAGTTCGATTGTGTAGGAAGCTATTAGGTTATAAACACACTTTCGAATCCGTTCCTGGAACCAACCAGTACTGAGCAATGAGTGTAAAGTTTCTTGCTCAAGGAAACAACGACTTGCCCCTGTCAGGGTTTGAACCCATGCGGCTAGCGATCATAAGATTACTAGTCCGAAGCGTTAACCACTCGGCCATGCCGCCACTTTAATATATATTATTAATTATACATATTTCATTTAACATCACTCCATGTATACCATTCACAATATAAATTTATTTTTTTTAAATTTCAGGACATTTTTTTATGTACAAATTTGTTAACTTAGCAGTGACAAACATTATCTAGGCTGTGTCGTTTTGTTTTTTATTTTAATGTTAAGTTGGGCTTTTCAGTTGTTTTTTTGTTTTTTGTTTGATACAAAAAACCCCCAAAAACAACAAACTTAAGCTCACTGTAATATTTCAGTTTATTATATACTTACAAATGAAATATTGAGAAATATTGATGAAATAAAATGCGTATTTTCATTTTCCGTATTTTCACTGTAAAAATTTATTTTTCACTGCAGTGAAACATATTTTCCGTATTTTCACTGGTGTCTTGCCGGACTACTTTCTTTTAAATTCTGCAAGTACACAAAATTTAAGGGAAAGTCTTTCAAATTTTAATGTCAAAAAAGAGAAAAATGTATATATAATAAACAGAAAATTCAAGTTTTGTCTATAAATACATGATTTATTTTCATCTTGTGGCATGAAAATTACCATAATATTATTTCACTCGTGGCTACCGCCACTCATGAAATATTTATTTTCATACCACTCGATGAAAATAAATCATGTATTTATAGACAAAACTTGAATATACTCTATTTAGTTTTAGTGATAAAAATATGTGAACATACCCCATATTATTTGCCATCCTGATGTTGTCAGAATCATCCTCACTGAGAATATCTCCAAGAATTACATGAACTGCAAGAATTTATAAACAATAGTTAACAAAATAATATTGATACAAATTCCAATTAACATTAGTATATCCTGGTATTTTTTAGAATGGACTAGCAGTATTTTGAATTTGTAACTGTCTTCTGTTTATTTAAATGAAAGATTTCAACATTTAACGCCTAGCCTGTTAGCAGCAACAGATACATGTATAACCAGTGCAAAATAGAGAAAAATGGAATCCCTCAAGAACACCTAAAACAACAAAATTAAATATGTTGCAGGCTCGGTTTGATTTACTCTGTTTTTGCAATCCAGTGGAGAACATATTTTGAAATGTTCCTATAAAAAATGATGAATGGTCATGAAAGATGGACCTGTTCATTTAAGATGTTTAGTGACATAATGTTTAAACAGGCCACAGTTAAGAGTTTAGGCAAACAAAGTTTAGACTGTCATTAAACTTCTGGCATAAGCAAGTCATTATCATCACTAACATTCAAACTTTAACAATTGATAACATAGTATTCAATGTTTTACCTGCATTTGGAGTTTTGTGTAAAATTTGTATTATTTTTTCAGCATCTGGAACAGCACAGTTTCTGAAGTCTAACACTTGTAAACCTAACCTGAACACAGAAAATAACAATATTACAAATAAATCAACACATAATTTTTTCTAAAATATAATAAAAAATAAACAAGAAATACATGTAAAAATGATGTTCCAAAGAAAAGAGCACAACATGATGTATTTGCACTTTTAATGTTAGACTTGAGGAGAAAAATCTGAACTCAAAAGCTCATGATAGCGATCTTACATTTAAAGCATTGTTGTACCACACTGTAGTACACTGTAAGTAATTCAGAGTCACAGATATTGACTAGAAAATCTACTCAGACAAATGTATGTATAAACAGCTAGATATTTACTAAAACAGTTACATGGACAATTAACAACCATTGTTATTTATCTCCTTGTAATATTTTGCAGTAAAACCATCGTTTTGAATATTCTACTACTTTTCAAACAAAAATAAAGTAAAGCTGAATAAGATGAAAACATAATACAATGTACATGCCGACTGTTAATAGCAGTGAAATGGTAACATATTCATCAATATGTAATGTATAGGCAATATTCTATAAACATAATTATATTCTGTTGTATTTTACAATTTCAGGGTGGCTAAATAACTATGTGACAATGCAGTGTACAGGATTAGTTTACCTACCATAGTGTTGCTGAGGAGCAAACTTCTCTGAATTTTGTACAAGTGGAGGATACTTGACAAATGTCATTCCAGTCTAGAAATTTAAATATTTCTAATAACACTCCTGCTGGCATGTACTCTAATAAAGATAGTACACTGTAATTAAATAAAATACAGTTGTATAAATAATGTTGTTTATATAAATTATAGAGCATAAAAGATGAATTATCATTGTATATGAATCATTTCATATCCTGTTTTTCTATAAAAACAATCAATATAAAATGTTTTTGTAATATTATTCTATGCATGATAATAATAGGGTAATATATTGTCTTGAAATTAATTTATTTACTTTAAGCATTAAAAACAGATTATGCTTTGTTTACATTTAGAACAATCTATTTTCAGCTCTTATCTCTAAAGCATCAACATAACAACATGTCACTGGTTATTAGATCAGTACTCCTAGACCTATACTTTACATAGGGATTTATGTCCAGTTTTCAAAAGTGGAGTTAAACAATGACCTTTTCTTATTTTAGTCCTTAATAAGCCACACAGGATTTTTTTGTTTTAATTCACATGGATAATTTCAGTGAAAATCTATGCTAGAGTCTTAATCATAAATCTAAACTATTATGACCCTGAAATGAAGACATGTGAAATTTCCAAGAATAACTTAAGTGATCGTAGAGGCGGTAGTTACTTAAAACAATTTTAACTTACCCAGAAATGTTCATGTTCAAAAAGTGACATACCGGTAACTCATTAAAAATCCATGTTAGAGTAATGGGTCTCAAGAGTGGCAAAAGTGGCATGGGTATGTGATAATCAGTTATAGTGAATTGTAGGGTTATATGTATTGGATAGTCATCTAAAATATGATGCAATTTAAGACTTACATGTATGTGAAATGTTTTAATGAATATCTTAATGGTTAAAATAAGGATATATACTGTTACAACCAAAATAAACAAGAGCTGTCACAGGAGACAGCCAAGCTCGACTAATAAAATACTGGACGCAGTAAGGAGGACAAAACTATGAAAGAAAATTCAATTATGTATAATTATGTATTAAGTTATAGTAAAAAAATAATATTTGTTAACATAAATTCCAAGATCAAGGGGAATAATTCTAGAAATAGTCATGCTAGAGTTATGGACCTTGTCACACAACATTTGTGTAATGATAAGAAATATATATTTGAAGTAGATACCTTAAAAAGTAAAGAAGTTATTATATTTCTTAAAGAAAATCCTAAGTTCAAAGAGAGATAAATGTGTAAATATTGCTTCAAGAGTTATGAACATTGTCACATAAAATGTAATTGATGATAAGGAATAAGTATTTGAAGTTTGAGGTAGATACCTTTAAAAATAAAAAAGTTATAATAAAAAATAACATTTTTCTAGTAAATAAATCTAAGTTTATGGGGAGATAATTCTTGCAATATTGGTGCTAGAGTTATGAACCTTGTCACATAAGATGTGGATGATGATAACGTAAATATATTTGAAGTATGAAGTTGATCCCTTTAGAAATAAATAAGTAACAGTAAAAAATAATATTTTTTATGGAAAATTCTAAGTTCAAAGGGAGATAAATCTGAAAATATTGGTGCTAGAGTTATGAACCTTGTCACATAAGATGGGGATGATGATAACATAAATATATTTGAAGTATGAGGTTGATCCCTTAAGAAATAAAGAAGAAACAGTAAGAAATAGTACTTTTTGAGGAAAATTCTAAGTTCAAGGGGAGATAAATCTGAAAATATTGGTGCTAGAGTTATGAACCTTGTCACATAAGATGGGGATGATGATAAGGTACATATATTTGAAGTATGAGGTTGATCCCCAAAGAAATAAAGAAATAACATTAAAAAATAGTATTTTTTAAGAAAAATTCTAAGTTCAAGGGGAGATAAATCTGAAAATATTGGTGCTAGAGTTATGAACCTTGTCACATAAGATGTGGTTGATGATAAAGAACATATATTTGAAGTTTGAAGTTGATACCTTTAGAAATGACAAAGTTATAGTGAAAAATATTTTACTGCACCAAAACTTTAATCTAAAATCTGGACGCGGACGCCGGGGCGAGTAGGACAGCTCTCCATATACTTCGTATAGTCGAGCTAAAAATGACAACATCAATGATTTTACAGTATATGGTATAGCTAACAACTGTTATTATTTGAAAGTTTTAAAAAGATTAAAAGCATTTCTGTCCATGAATGTTTTTCTATAGGTTTATAGATTAACTTACTTGTCTTCTTCATCTGTTAAGTCATCTTTGCCTTCCATTCTAATTTTCTTTACCAACCAAAGGTGCTTTATGTTCTTTGCTGAAAAATATTTTTTTTTCAAAAGTTTTGATTACATGAACCGTTAATCTGTATTTGTGCGACTGCTTTTCAAAGAACATCAAAGACGCTGCAGACTTTAAACTAGATGCACTGAGCCATTTGTGCTCCTGATGTGTATTAATTCATTATATGCAAGTAAATTTACACACTGTCGATGTGACCTTGCGTGTACATGTAGTTACTGCCAAATATGGTTACACCGATTCATGATGTCAACTAATTAAACTCACAGGTGTTGTGTAAATTATGATAAATTAATTGTGATGTTTCTATCGATGAATTTACAGGGGCACTTATATAATGATCAATGAAATTCTATCCATCTTCCGTTAATGTCAAACCACTCGCGGGAACGTAGACATCATACAGTCTGCGCATCAAAAATCGCAAAAAAAAGTTAAAAAGAGTTGTTTAAAAGAGGATAAAAGAATATTTAAAAATGTTAAAAACAGTAGGCTGGAAAACTAAGGTGAGACATGTTTGATGCACTCTATGGCTGCACTGAACAGCTCTGGCACTGAACTGCTCTGGGGTAGGGAAACTGCAGGGGATAGGTGGTCCCAGTGGTATACTGTCCTAGGAAAGAATGAGAATTTATAATAGTCTGAAGTTGTTGTGAATAACCTATAATATTAGGGATGGCCATGGCATGATGTTCAGGAAAGGGTGTCAAATATTCTTCTATGGGGATAGCAACCAGACCATGGTGAATCTTACAGAGAAGGGATAACCTGGCATCTTTATGTCTGAGTTCTAGTTTTCGAAGGTTAAGGGAGTGAAGTATGTCTGTGACACTAGAGGTCTGACCATAATCAAGCTTAATCCAATCGGGGGCTACTCTTCTTTGGACATTTTCGATTTTAATCTATTTCAGTTTTGGTGTGGGGAGACCAACTTCGGGAACCATATTCAAGCTGGGGTCTGACTAACGTCTGGTAAGCAATAGACCTTATGGACTGGGATTAAACTTTATGTTTCTGCGTAGGAATCCTAAGGTTTGGTTTGCTTTCTTGGATGTCCTATGACTGTGAATATGGGCATCCCACATGAAATTTTCTGATCAATCCATGCCTAGGTATTTAGCTGAGGTAACCGATTCTAATTGGACTCCATGAAGGTAGTATTGTATTGGGATAGGATGTTTCCTTTTTGCGATGTGGATAACTTGACAATTGGAAGTTGGAGGGTTGAAATTCCATATCCCACTCCAACTTTTCTAACCAATTTAGGTCATTTTGGAGGGTGACTGATTGGTTTGCAGACGTCAGAGCAATGTACAATGCAAGCAATTATTAATATCTTCTGCAACAAGCGGACCTGGGAATTTATGTTTTGTAGGATGTCATTTATATAGGCGAGAAACAGGAGGGGTCCTAGAACGGAGCCTTGGAGGACACCTGAGGATACTGGGATGGAGTTAGAGGAGCTGCCATTCAGCAAAACAGACTGCAGTCTGTTATCTAGACCTATTTTAAAGTTTGACCTCTGATTGCATAGTCATGTATTTTCAGCAGTACTTTCTCATGGCTGACCTAGTCGAAAGCCTAACTGAAATCTAAAAGAATCAGATCTACTATACAGTAGTATACTGAGGTGACCAGGTCATTATCCAACATAACAAGTTGCGTACCACATGACCTTTTTTCCCTTAAACCACATTGGAGGTGGTAAAGGATGTTATGGTTGGTGAAGTGTTTAACAATGGAGTTACAATTTTTATATCATGTCACATAAACTGATAAAAATAAAATGAAATGTGTTAATTGCAGTCCATATTGGCAGTAGCTGTGTTAATTCAAGTATCACCCGGAGATAATGATTAAATTTATTGACAGGCATTGGGAGACACGCAAATTAAACTAAAGATCTGAATATGTGGTAAGTAAAGAAGTATACACACTGAGATGTTGATGTTTTCCTTTTGAGCCTTTGACATTTAACAAAATTTAAGCAACTAAGTATCACATATCGCCCAGTTGCTTAAGTCCTGATTATTACAAATATTATGTTAATTGTGTTAGCTGATCATAATCAAGTTTTAGTTATATTATGTATCTCAGGATAAATACAATGGCCTGAAAAGTCCCATTATTCAGCTGTTCAGGTATTGGGAATAAAAATATTCTATTATCGTATACTTAAAGATAACGTCTTGACCAAAAGTCGGTAGGTTTAAAGTTCTACAGTACTACACCCTTCGCATATTAACATACTGCCTTAGTCTTTTCTTACATATTTAAGTTGATTGTTTTACCATGAAAAAAGTTTTACTTTCATTTTGACATGTCAATTTCCGGTGAATCAGTACCTCCTTTGTGAAGAGCAAGTACAAGGGATAAGCTCTTAAAATACTTTCTGAATAATAAATCTACACGTCGGAAGACATTAACATTCTTTCAAAGCAATAACAAAAACAGGAATAAAGAATCATATTGTTATTTAAAACAAAAATATAAACATTCAGTATCAGCATTTTATAATTTTATACATGTCCATTAACAACTGCCCCCGTACAAAAACAACGTGGATCAGTGTAAAATTAAATAAACAGTGATGACGCTCGAAGCAATAAGGTATCGTAGAGGACAACTTGATATCCTTGACCAGTTACTTTTACCCTCTCAGTCTATATATATATCAGTGAGTGACACTAAAGATGCATGGGATGCAATCAAAAAAATGCAGGTAAAATATTCGTTCCAATTTTTAACCTTTTTAGTTTATGCACTGAAGTATGTGACTGGAAAGTACAATAGAACAAATAAGCCACAAGTGTGACTACTAATAATCTCTTTTCAGCCTTTGTGAGGCCGTCTGGTAGCTGTATCACAGTGTATAAACTCAAAGGCATGTTACACAATAAAATATTAGCCCAATTGTTTAATTTGTTAGACATACATACATCCCTGTAGCAAAAATTTAACCCGGATGCCATTTTGGATTCACAACTTGCTCCTTCAAAGGCTTACACAGCTCCAGAATCTGTAACAACTGAACTTGCTCCAGCAAAAGATGTTCCAATGCCTACTGAATTTTTCAAAAATGCTGAAAAATTCATTTCAGATAAACAAACATTTGAACATAAAAAACAAAACAAAACTATCAGTGGTTTAGTTTCAGGCAAATGCATTTCTTCACCCACTGTCCAGCAACAAATTATTGCTCATAAATCTGAAATGAAAAATAAATCATCATTAAAAAGTGTTAGTGGGAAAAAGCAAAAGTGTGTATCACTTACTTCAACCAGCAATAAAAGGAAACGTGAACCGAGTCCCCAGCCTTGTTCCTCAAGGAAATCAAAAATCACGTCTCCATATGTTGTCTCTAACTACTTTTCAGAAGAAGATAATACAGAAGAAGAAAAGTGTTGTGTTTGCTCTAGGTTTCAACCAATAGAACTTAGAAATTGTATATCAGTTGTCTTTACTAAATGGGCTCAACGTGACTATCCAGAATGTGGTCATTGGACACACTTAAAGTATTGCTGTAAGCAGTCAGTAGTCAGACTCCATGATGAATTTATTTGCCCATGCCATAAAAACAGTTTTACAGAAGAGTAAGCTAATATGTAAGCTATTAGGATAGGCCTATGAAGTGCCAATGTTGTTTTTTCTAAGATTGGAATATATTTTTGGACAGTGACTGTATACTAGTACTCTTTGTTATGAAGGTAGAAAAAGTATCGAAAACATGTAAATATTGCAAATGGCGACGTAGTTTGATAGGGACTATAAAAGTTTAAATGTTGGATTGATTAAATGTTATTTTGATTATAAAATCAGTCTTATTGAAGTTTAAATAGGCATAAATAAAAGGTTATCTTCTTGATTTATTTTTCGAGTTAGTTTTATTTACAATATACTAAGTTAAAACCTTATGGTATCGAAAACCGGTCAAACCATGATACATGTAGTTTATAATGGACCTGATTATGGACCTTGCCAAGAAGTAAAAATATCTCAAAGCAATATCATATTATATTTATAGGGCTACATGAAATGTTTGCAATAAAGATTTGCAAGACGGGGTACAGTGATTTTTTTGTTATTTGTGTTTATCTGCCTGGTGCAATGATGTGTTCTACTAGTCCAAATATTTAGACATAAACCGCGGATTTGAAGCTGTTTTTAGTTCGACTATGCGAAGAATATGGAGAGCTATTGCAGTCGCCCCGGCGTCTGCGTTGGTTAAAGTTTTTTGTTAAGTCAAATATCTCAATTATTGCTTGAGATATTCAATTGAAACTTACAATACTTACAGTAACAATGTACATCAGATTGACAAGTTGGATAACTCTCATACAATATTTACAGAATTATGCCCCTTTTTAACTTAGAAATTTTGGTTACCGGGGTAAATTTTTTGTAAAGTCAAATATCTCAATTATTGTTTGTGATATTCAATTGAAATTTACAATACTTTTTTATAGTAACAATGTACATCAGTTTGCAAAGTTGCATAACTCTGCCTGCAATATTTACAGATTTATTTGCTTCGCTGAAACTTAGAAATTTTGGTTAAAGGTTAAAGGTCTGAAGAACTATTAAAGATAATTTTTATTTACTTGAAATTTTACACAATCATCATGTACTTAGGGTCATAATTGAAGGTCACATCTCAAGATCCATTACTTTGCCTTGATTTTGACTGAATTATGCTCCCTTTTGTACTAAAAAAATCTCCTTTTTGTGTCGCCTCTACAGAGAAGTGGTGACATATAGGGATCACTTCTCCGTCGTCCGTCTGTCTGTCTGTCCGTCCGTCACAAAACTTGTCCATACTACTCCTCATAGCATTTTCCGGTTCAATGATTTTTGTCAGAGTTATGGCCCTTTAATAATTTTATTTTTAAAGTTTGTCCGAACTACTTCTCTTGTACCACTTATGCAATTTCAATGAAACTTTACAGGATTGATCTGTAGCTCAAGTCCTTATGCATATTGCACGGGTTTTCCGGTTGAATGATTTTTGGCCGAGTTATGGCCTTTTGATAAAAAGGTGTTTTTTTCTGTGTGTTGCCTGAGATACACAAAAGCTAGTCCGAAATACTCCTCATAAACTACTGGTGCAATTTTATCCAAACTTTACAGGAATGATCAGTACCAAGTCTTGTTGTGCATATTGTCAGCATTTTCCGGTTCAATAATTTTTGTCAGAGTTATGGCCCTTTAATATTTTTTTTTAAAGTTTGTCGGAACTACTTCTCTTATACCACTAATGCAATTTCAATGAAACTTTACAGGATTGATGTGTAGCTCAAGTCCTTGCGCATATTGCACAGGTTTTCCGGTTGAATGATTTTGGCCGAGTTATGGCCCTTTGATAAATAGGTGTTTTTTTTCTGTGTGTTGCCAGATACACAAAAGCTTGACCGGACTACTCCTCATAAACTACTGGTGAAATTTTATCCAAACTTTACAGGAATGATCAGTACCAAGTCTAGTTGTGCACTGTTCGTCTGTCTGTCCGTCTGTCACAAAACTTGTCCCAACATGAAATTGGCCATCATGAGGCGACACATGTGATCACTGATCGCTCTTGTCTTGGTTAAATTTTACATGCAAGTTTTGCATATCTCTGAAACTATTAAAGATACAAACTTGAAACTTCATATGTATATTGTGGTCATAAATAATCATCACTGAACAGCACTCATATCTGTGTCATTTATTTAGGCTGATTTATCTCCCCCTTTTAACCAGGTTTTCCGAAGGAAAAAACTGGTTATTAGATTGAGGTATGTCGGCGGCGGGCGGATGGGCGAACGGGCGGGTGGGCGGGCGGGCGTAAACAATTTCTTCTGTGCGCAACTCCTTCTACATTTCTCAACAGATTTTGACCAAACTTTCACAGAAGCTTTGTCATCAAGTGCCCTGGGCATATTGTTGGGGTTTTGCGATTGGATAATATTTGACCTAATTATGGCCCTTTGTTTTTTTTCCTTATATAGAATATATAGTGAACAATTTCTTCTGTGCGCAACTCCTCCTACATTTCTCAACGGATTTTGACCAAACTTTCACAGAAGCTTTGTCATCAAGTGCCCTGGGCATATTGTCAGGGGTTTTGCGATTGGATAATATTGGACCTAATTTATGGCCCTTTGTTTTTTTCATTAAATAGAATATATAGTGAACAATTTCTTCTGTGCGCAACTCCTCCTACATTTCTCAACGGATTTTGACCAAACTTTCACAGAAGCTTTGTCATCAAGTGCCCTGGGGCATATTGTTGGGGTTTTGCGATTGGATAATATTTGACCTTATTATGGCCCTTTGTTTTTTTTCCTTATATAGAATATATAGTGAACAATTTCTTCTGTGCTGAACTCCTCCTACATTTCTCAACGGATTTTGACCAAACTTTGCAGAAGCTTTGTCATCAAGTGCCCTGAAGTATATTGTCGGGGTTTTGTGATTAGATAATATTTGACCTAATTATGGCCCTTTGTTTTTTTTTCTTATAAAGAATATATAGTGAACTATTTCTTTTGTGCGCAACTCCTCCTACATTTCTCAACGGATTTTGACCAAACTTTCTCAGAAGCTTTGTTATCAAGTGCCCTGGCACATATTGTCGGGGTTTTGTGATTTGATAATATTTGACCTAATTATGGCCCTTTGTTTTTTTTCCTTGTACAGAATATATAGTGAACACTTCTTCTGTGGCAATCCTCCTACATTATTCATGTTTTACAGTGCACATAGTTACATTGTTTGTTGCTTGTATTTGTATTTCAAATAAAACATATTTATCTACAATGGTGATAATTGAAAACCTCAGGTTTCATGGCATTGCCATGTTTCTTGTTTACTTAGTCTCTTGGTCAATGTTTACATGTAAGTTTAACATATCTCAATAACTATCAGATATTTTGATTTGAAACTTCAAATATGCATGAAGGGTCATAATTGTATGTCACATGACTGTCCATTCAAACTCCAACACGTCCAATACAAAACTGCTGACTTGTTCCTTGATTTTAAAAGGTATTTGTTGCATATATTTTTATAAACAAAAATAAGGGTTCCTGATAATTTAATCTTTTTACACATTTTTGTTCATAGGTAGAGGCCTTTTTATAATTAATGTGTACTCTTGTGTACAGAAGTATATACTTTTGCTATCATAATTATTCACATCTTTATTAAGACACCTTTACACATTACAATTTGACCGAAAGTGTACTTTGTTCAAAAGTGTTTTTGCTTTGTTCAAATGTTTATTTGCTTTTTCATACGCCCGTTTGAAAAACGGGACGTATTATGGGAACGCCCCTGGCGGGCGGGCAGGCGTGCGGGCGGACGGCGTCCAATTTTGTCCGGAGCATATCTCCTACATGTATGGAGGGATTTTAATGAAACTTCATATAAATGTTCACCACTATGAGGAGCAGTGTCGCGCACATGAACCAGGTCTCTAGGTCAAAGGTCAAGGTCACACTTAGAGCTCATTGAAAAATGCTTGTCCGGAGCAAAACTTCCACATGTATAGAGGGATTTCAATATTACTTGGCACAAATGTTCACCATTGTGAGGCGGAGTGTCGCGTGCAAGATTCAGGTCCTTGCGGCCAAGGTCAAGGTCACACATAGAGGTCAAAGTTCAGATAGAAATATGAAGATGTGTATATGGACCATTTAGTCATCATTTATTGAGGGATTGTAACACAAATGGTCATTATCA